ATGAATACTTATGTCAAATATTAAAGAAATAGGCAGAAATAGTAACAGCTCATTTATTAGATTTAGAAGATGGACTTCTCCGACTACTGATCTGATGTAGTTTGAAGTATTGAAATGCCGAGTTTCGATTGTCTCGAAGATGTTTTCATCATTTTCATTCAGCAAATGCGATACAAAAACTCGCATAAACAAAGGTTACACAAGTAGAAAGACACACTAATCAGTTCGAACAAACACTGAAACTTTTCAAGTGCGAAGAGAAAGTAAATTACCTGCATGATTTCTCTTCTCCTCGGCCGTCAATCTGAATTCTGCGTATAAACAGCTATGCTTATTTAAATATGAGCTTAGCTAGATAAAACTGTAGTCACAATGGTGGATTAAAAGCGTAAATCTGAGCAGAAATTAGACACAACTTACATATTTCGCTTCCCTCTCACTTAAAGCAAGTGAATTGAAAACGTTTTTACGAAAAGACGAGATTCTTGAATTACCGAGACGGCAAAATACGAGCAAAATGTTCTCCGTAGTCCTAACTATGCGAAATAGCTCAACAACTCACGTAGCCGCAGGACTACGCTGGTAGAATGAACAGTCACGTGGTTTTGATCATGCGCAGGACCATGTTTAAACGAAGTCGCCGTATCTTAAACTCCCTAATAATTCGCCTTCTGAGCGACAGATTCCACGTGTATTTTCACGTGACTTTTGATGACCTTGTTGTCAACAAACCCCGAAAGTTCGGACATCCGTTCTCTTTCACATACTGTACTTGTACAAGCGACGAGTTGCTATTTGAAGTTTTCGTTAACTAATATATTTTCCTTCCCTTTCGCTGTTTGAAAATCGAATAGTTTAGGGTTCAAAATGTCAAAGCAGAAGATCAGGAGTGACTTTAACCACCACGAGTATGGTAAAACTGCAAGAAAAATTAAATATTCGCCGGAACATGGAGTTTCAACCAGCGCGTGTCTCCTCTACAGTTGAAAGAATGGTTTTGCCTGGTGGATCTTAACTTGGAAAAAATGAAACTGATAATGCAAACACACAATGTGCTTACATTTTCGTCTCGACCGCCCTTTATACACTTAACTATACGCTTATGCTTATCTGGCCTGAAGTACACTGCGTCCGTTTCTTTCTACAGTATTAAATACAAAGCCACTACATGTTCACAGAAGCCTGCACTTTTTTGCCACAGATACGTGAACAGCCTCTTGATTCAACTTAGCAGTTAGTAAGTTATCAACATAACCGTCATCAAAAGTGTCGAGTGCCTGTTTGCCGTAATGTACAGTTGAGAATATAATATCAGACAACCGATGGGACGGTCGTTATAGCGAAAATGGATCGGAAATTAATACCGTGTGAACATGAATTTTGAAATGTACATTATGTATGTATTATGAAATTTGCCTACTTCACCGGTTTTTGTCTTTCAAAGTTTAGTTCCGATGTTAAAACCATTTCAGCTGCTGAGGCGGGAATTTCCGCTACAAGCCCTCCTCTTTCCTGCAGTTCTGCCCTGCTCTTGGCCTTAACGTCGCTCTTGTTCTTCTGCTTAGAGATTTTTGAACCTCAAACTATTCGAGTTTAAAACAGCAAAAGGAAAATAAAATGTATAAATTAACGCGAACTTGAAATAGCGACTCGTAGTTCGCACAAGTACAGTATGTGGCAGAGAACGGATGTCCGAACTTTCGGGGTTTGTTTACAACAACAGAGAGTTTTAGATCCGAGTTTACCGGGAACCTCTAACCGCGGTTTGCAGGTACCCGTTTGCGGTTCAACGTTCAAACATAATTCGATTTAGATTGGCGGTGGATTAAATCACGGCCGCCATTTTGAATCAGCAGCCATGAATGGCACTTGTTTTCAANTAAAACAGCAAAAGGAAAATAAAATTTATAAATTAACGCGAACTTGAAATAACGACTCGTAGTTCGGCCAAGTACAGTATGTGGCAGAGAACGGATGTCCGAACTTTCGGGGTTTGTTTACAACAACAGAGAGTTTTAGATCCGAAGTTTACCGCGAACCTCTAACCGCGGTTTGCAGGTACCCGTTTGCGGTTCAACGTTCAAACATAATTCGATTTAGATTGGCGGTGGATTAAATCACGGCCGCCATTTTGAATCAGCAGCCATGAATGGCACTTGTTTTCAAGATCCAATAGGATTTATAAAATTTAGCATTTCGCCCGAATTTGTGCCTCTGTTAATGGATAAAGACTTGCTCCACAAGTTTTGTGTATCATTACGTGGGATGAAACCAGAATTATACGCTAAATGCTTTCAGGTACATGAAATACGTGAAAACCTACCTCCCCACGTTGAAAACGCTCATCGTAAACCTCAAACGTGACGCGAAAGACTTGTCTTGAGGTTCGCGGTAAACTCGGATCTAAAACTCTCTAATGGTCATGAAAAGTCACCTGAAACTACACCTGAAATCTGACACTCAGAAGCTGGATTTGTCTGACGAAAACCCACAGGGGACC